GTAACGACGACGTACAGGAGGTGTAAGAAACTTACTTTACAGCTACCTAACCTAAAACGTAAAACGGTTACGGTACCGAGGTTCGGTTCCTTCCAGCTTCTATCCCCACCACCCTCAACACCACACACACACACACACACACACACGCAAACGCACGTGTGCACACAGTCATCCCCACGTAAGAGTGTTACTATTATTACTTACATCATATTACTATTCCTGACATTTACTGAATGTTTGTGTCGGACCAGGAATTAGGCTAAGAACTCCATGTACTTTATCTTCCTTTGCTATTGCTACAGCTCCAAGTGGAAGATAATGTCTCCTCCTGCCGAGGCAAGGAGTTCAGTGGCCAGCCCACGATCACCCCGTTAGGGAAGCAGGTGGCTTGGATATCTGCTCATCTCCATCCCAGTGTTCCCAGCAACATTACCACAGCTGACTTGCAGTGATACGGAGTATGGTTTTGTGAGCTGCGTAAATAGAGAAGCTTCCACTAACAAACTTAGTGGAATTTCTCAGCATGTAGGGAGCCTAACTCCAACCCCTTGACGGGTATTAATATTCTTGTTTCGTGAATAGAGGAAGTTGGGGAGATCTTAGTTTGAATTCTTGCGGCCTCACTCAGCAGCGGCATGGGATTTCACAAATCATACAGTTTCTCAGAGGTCCCGCTCTTCTCATCAGCAGTGTGGGGGCAGCTCTGTAATCTGAGAGGGTTGGTGCGAAGTCAGCGGAAGGGGAGAGCTTGGCACCTCTTTCCAGAGTCAGCAAAGCATAGTTGCTTCCTCTCTTTCTCACATGACTGAAGGATGGTCTATGCCCGTTTCCCAGCTCACTTAAACTCTCCCTGAAAGCAAACGCCTACCCACGTCTACCCACTCCCATGACCCAGGGTGGACTCTATTTCCTGACCTGATTCCAACTCCCAGCATCTGCATCTGGTCTTTGGTTTTCTACTTATGGCTTCATCTCCGTGGTCCCCCGGTCCCACCATCCTGCACCACAACTGTATCCTTGACCACTGTGCCGACTCCTCTTCTGGATGGGCTGCTGTCAGGAATCGTAGGTAAGAACCTTGCCACGTTTATGATGCCCTTAGACTGTGAACTTTGGGGGGAGATTTTTGAGCAAGATTTTCTGAGCATCTAATGCACACCTGGATCCATGCGTGGGTAATGGACACCCAAAGATGAATCAGATATGCTCACTCTTTAGGAACTCAGAGACTGATGGAGATTAGACATACACACACACAAAACTCCCCCTAGGAATTGAATTAGATTAGAGACGGTGATGCCTGCTCGTGATGATGGGGCTGAGAAAAGCGACAGTGGGAATACTGAGTAAAACCTAAATCATAGCCACGCTTCCCAAAGAGTTTGTTAAATCTGTCGAACTGGGGAAATCCATTAGAAATTAGGAATATTTCCTTCCATGGCATTTGAATAGCTTTTTTAAACACCTTTATTGTGATATGGTTCCTGTACAGTAAACTACACATATTTCAGATGTATACTTCGATGAATGTTGATAGATGTGCACATCTATAAAACCACAATCAGGATGGCTAACATTTCCATCGCTCCCCGGCTGAATGTCTTTTACATCTTCTTCCTCAGGTATGATGAGCAGGCTGTCAACAGATGGTAAGTTTGAGGAGTCTCTCGTTCCTGGTGTTTCTCTTCTCTGGTCGTTAAGGAAATGCAGACTTACAGAGTAATTTGTATTTTTACTTATTTATTTCAAACAAGTATTTTGTTTATTTATGTCTTATTCATTTGTTTTGGAAGAACCATCCAGATGTATCCAATTGCATTTTGTTTCTTTGAGTTTTAAGATAATGGAAATTTTTATTACTGTGAAATTTTAATACAGTTATATTAACATAATAAATATTGCATTGTGGGTTTTTTAAGTTGTAAAAATAGTATATGCACATGGGAAAATTTGAAGAGCAGGAAACGAAAGTCAAGAATCTTCCTCTCCATCTCATTCCCAGTCTACTGTCTAGAAACAGCCACCATGACTAGTCTTTTATACATTCTCACAGGAAACACTCAGGCTTATATACGTACATCCTCAACTTTTTGAGTTAAAAATATACAGTTCAGCAAAAGAACTTTACCCCTTTCTTTCAAATACCTGAATGAAATTTCATTCACACTCATATAATTTAATGTCTCCTGTTCACGGAAGGTTCCTCTTCCTCTCACTTACTCTGATTTCAGTTTTGTTTCAGTTCGTTTTGATGCCACTGCAAACAGTGCTACAACGAACACTCTTGTACAGCCATTGCATTTTTCTTTTTTGCACGTACATATCTGTAAGATAAACCCCTAAAAGGGAAATGGCTGGGTCAAAGGGCATTTTAACTTTGGACAGAAGTTTAACGAATTCACAGTTCTATAAACAGCCCTCTATGAACAGCCCACGATAACACTTCTTTCTCCACACCTTCAGCAACACAGGGTATTATCTTTTTGGTTTTTTGATAATGAGATGACTGAAAAAAAATGGTCCCATATTCACAGAGAGACTGAATTCCTGTCACATCCTTTACTATCCAGTTCAGTGCTATCATTTATGTTTTTCTTTAAATGGACTCCATGTTTTACTTAAATAGGCAATTTTGAAAAGGATACTTCACGTCACTTGAGTAAGTTCAAAGCCAGTATCATTTGTTATGAGGAGAAGACAACTGCAAAAATAAATATAAAGAAAATAAAATGTTAATAAATTACAACACAATACTGGCTTTTGCTGGGGATCTTGATCTGAAGACTCTGCTCTCTCTCTTTGGTGGAAAGGAAGATCAGAGAGCACTAGAGGGGTGCTATAGACAAGTCAGCCTCATTCTGAGACTATCTCTCTAGTCAAAAGATAAGTGTACAGGGAATTAGGGATTAGATATAAAATTAGATATACTCATCATGTGACGCCAAAGGAGCTGAAGTGAACCTGTGTCCACCTGAGGTCCCCTCAGCCATCCCCGAGGGTTCATGCCCCACTACACAGGACACACCTGGATATGGAGATCTAGGCAGAGTGCGTGTGAGCAGGGCCTCCTGGAGCAGATGTGCTGGAGTTTCAACCCAGCTCTGTCCTTTACCAGCCTATGAGACCAGGGGCAAGTCTGTCCTCTTCCCCGTAAAGTAGAGCTCGTAATCCAACTATAAGGGGTTGTTTATGATGTTATGATAAAATACATGAAAAACTCAGGCACTAGGGAGCTGGTTAAAGTGGGTTCAACTCCGCCCCACCCGCACCCCCCACCATTCCTTGGGTTCTGGAGTTCAAAGCTCCATCGTCGTTTCTGCTCCTTGGAAGACAACAGTTTCTCACTTCTCTCCACCTTGGGTTGCTAAAGAACTCTGTGCTTCCTCTGGTTTCTTATCAACCTGGAAGTAGACCTCTCCTTCACGGGTTCCCATGATAAATCCACTCAGATCTACGATTGATGAGTTTTGATGAAGAGTCTTGTCAAGAATGGTCACAGCCATTCTGAGTAGATGGCTTTCTCCCATCTCAGTGGCTCCGCCTACTCTTGTTTTCTCTTCTCCCTTCTCCTTCTTGCCACATTGCTTGTGGAGCTCCAAGTCCTCCCCCTTCTAACAAGCTGGGTAACGTAGCCGTCCCTGACTCCTGCCCTCAGATAGTCCTCTTATCCATAGGTGCCAGCCCTTTGTGAACCAGAACCTCTCTCCTTGCCTCGTTAGAAAACATCTGGACTTTGTTTTTTCCAGTTTTGTTTTTAATTGAAATATAGTTGATTTACAATGTTGTATTAGTTTCTGGTGTACAGCATAGTGATTCAGTTATACATAGATATATATCTATATATATTCTTTTTCATATCCTTTTTCATTATAGGCTATTACAAGCTATTGAATATAGTTCCCTGTGCTGTACCATAGGACCTTGCTGTTTCTCTGTTTCATATATAGTAACGTGTATCTGTTAATCCCAGACTCCTAATTTATCCCTCCCCTCCCTTCCCCCTTCAGTAACCATAAGTTTGTTTTCTATGCCTGTGAGTCTGTTTCTGTTTTGCAAACAAGTTCATTTGTATATTTTTTAGATTCCACATCTAAGTGATCTCACATATTTGTCTTTCTCTGTCTTCACTTAGTATGATGATCTCCAGGTCCATTCATGTTGCTGCCAATGGCATTATTTCATTCTTTTCTATGGCTGCGTAGTATTCCATCATATATATTAGACTTTATAAATAGCAAAATGTGCTTCTTCTTCAACATGTGAAGCGGCTATGAAGCCAAGGGTCAGTGTAATCTAGCCATTATTAGGCATAATAACCTGTTATCTGATACCTTCAGCCTAGAGTTGAGGGTGGACAAGGTGACAATCAGAGGCTCATGGGGCAGGAGAGCATCTCCACAGATGGGGACACTGAGGCCCAGAAGGACGCAGAACATCAGAGGCGAAGTGGCAACTAACAAAAATCTCTCGAAGCACCTTTGAAAAGCCAGGGTGTTTTCAGCGCTCTGATTGTGTTGTTTCTTTTAATCATCAAACTCCCCTTAGGAAGGGGTGACGCTGTCATAATCTAGAGTGACCCTGTTTGCCCAGGACAGTCCCAGTTGTCGCACCAAAACTCTCTCACCCAAGGGGAAAACATAAAACCGCTCTCACCCTGGGGCCTCCTTCTAATCCTGGGCAAACAGGACGGTGGGTTATTCTGTTGTAACTCCACTTTTATGGGGAAACCAAGGCACAAAGAGGTGGGGTAAGTTGCCAAAGCTAGTAATCAACAGAGCTGGGTCCAGATCTTTCCACGACTCGCCACTGTTCTGAGGATGAAGTCTGAGGTCTTTAAAATCACCTGCGGGGTCTGCATCCTCTAGCTCTGTATACTCTTATGTCCGGGTCACCTTCTGCTGCTGCGCCCCCTCAGCGTCTCTCTCAGTCCTTCCGAAGCTCCGGACCCCTTCCACCAGCCCCCACACACACCCCAGGCCCACGTCTAAGCTCTTCCCTCTGCCTGGAATGCTCATCTCTCCCCTTCAGGCGTCTTCCCCTTGCTAACCCTCACTCATCTTTCAGGTCTCAGACTCAGTGACAGTTCCTCCAAGGCGCCCTCCCCGGCACCCCTACGAGGTCAGCAGCCATCGCCCCCCAGTCTGTTCCTGCTACTCCCTGTAGGTTTGCCCAGAAACACTCATCCCTCTGGTATCTGATGGATGACTCTCCCGCTGCCCGCTTCTCTGGCTGGAATGTGACCGCTCACGTTCCCTGGGAGTCAGGACCTTGTCTGACTCGCCGTCCAAGTGTCCTCCAGACCCTGCACCTGGTAGATGTCCTTCAATATTTGTTGGCGAGAAAGAGTGGCTGCCTTACGGAGTCCGCCCACCTGCTGTGACGCTTCTGCTCACCTGTGATTAGTCAGGGATGCTGTGCAGGGGTGTCTGGGACCCGGGTCTTAACGCTGATTTCTCTCTCTACCCGGCACCTCCGCTGGAACCCGGCTGCCCGCATTCTCGCCTCCAGATAAGACAGAAGAAGAAAGTAAGTGCCACGAGGGTGTGTCTTTGAGCTGACCTTCCCACGACTTCCTCTGCACCTTAAAACTTTAAAATTTCATTAGAAGTGCAAAGGAAGGGTTGGTGCAGGCTCTGGCATTCAGTCACCGGCCTGGGGTCAGGAGGGTGACCGGTCCGGGTGGACTGCAGTTGTGGTGTGCTGGTGACATTTCACAGCCACCTCTGTGGGCTGTCGGTGGGGGAGCGGGCCCTGATCGGAGCGATGGCCAACTTCTGTAGTGTAAATACTTTAACGCTGGCTGACTTCGAACTACTCGTGGTGTCACGGTGGCTCAAGAAATTCCTGAAAATTGAACAATCTTCTCTTGTGAGCCAGCTCCAGCACAGGTCTGGGTCTAAGTTATATCTCTCTCATTTGGTGTATAAATTGCACCAATGAAAAAGAGCTTAAAGAGCTTACCTCATTCATTCTTCCAGAAGGTAAAGTGGTGGTTCTTGGGAGAGAAAGGGGCCGTGCCCTTTAGAGAGCGGAGGGGACATTCCAAGGAAGGGAGATGGCAAAGCGTCTCCTCTGGAGACAGATGCACACGCATCTCCAGGGCTCAGGTGAGAGGGAGAAGCACCCCTCTGTCCTGACTCCACGGACCCTCCAGGGCAAGGACTTGTCCATCATTGATGTCCATGACCTAGAAAAACACCCAGCACACAGCTGGGCTGCACGGCTGTTCTTTGAAGGAAAACGGCGCTCCCTCAACTGCTGGTGCCTGTTATTTTGCTAATGGGCAGGAGTGAAAAAGAACTAACTTTGGAGAACATACTGCTATTCTATTACTGAATTCTTACAGGACACTGCGGTCCAGATGGAGCCCATGTTTTAAGGCATAATTCCCCAAAAATGGCTGATGATCAGAAACTTAAAAAAAAAAAGGAAACAATGCAGATTTCTGTGTTCTTCCCAGACCTTCTATGTGAGAATGCCAAGGGGTGGGATCTAGGAATCTGTTCCTTCAAAAAAAAAAGTTCTCCAGTGATTTGATTCAGGTGGCTTGGGAACCGCTGAGACAGAAAGCAGGAGTTGGCAAACCACAGCCTGGTCCGAGGTCTGTTTTTGTAAATAAAGTTTTATTGACACCAGCCTAACCCATTCGTCGGTCCTCTGTGGCTGCTGTCGTGCTGTGATGGCAGCGTTGAGTAGTCACGACCGAGGTTGTGTGGCTTGCAGGGCCACTGCCTGGCCCTTTCCAGGCGAAGTCGGCTGACCTCTGAGCCAGCACAATGCCTCTCAAGGCCTTCATTTAAAACTAAGATCCCACTTCAGATCTGTCTAAGGAACCACGGCTCCTGGGGTTGGAGCTGGAGGCTCTGTCTGTGACAAGCTTCCCGGGTGGTGGCCCTTGTACACACTAACCCTGCACATGTGGGCCCACCAACTTCAGCTCAACGAGCAAATTGTTCAAGGGGGAGCCACCATAATTCATGAGTGTAGTGGGCCAGGAAGGAGGCGGTCCTTTCTCTTCAGTCTCCAATCTTGAGTCTCACGTCCTGCTGCCACTCTTCCCTTGAGATGGAGAGTCAGCAATTCAGTGCTGCCCACCTGTTTTGGGTCATTGATTGGGCATTTTTTACCTAAACGCTTTCAGCTACTGTATGACTCCCCCTTCTTTCTAAGGTAACGCTGTCCTTATCATTTAAGGATGATGGTGAGAAAAATGTTTAATAAAGTATCAAAAAAGGAAAGAGTGCATGCAAAAACTGGTGCAGTCTGAGCAAGGTCTGTCGCTGAGTTAATAGCATTGCACCAATGTCAGTTTATTGGTTTCGATAACATACTATGCTTGGGTAAGATGCCACCGCTGGGCAATGGGTACACAGGACCCTTCTCCACTGCTTTTTGCAATGTTTTGTGAGCCTATAATTATTACACAAGGAAACATTAAAAATAACTTAAAGAATATTTAATGAGCAAACGATGGAAGGTACTGGGAGAGGGGTTAATGTTGTTCCTATGCCCTTGCTCACTTTTTTCCATGTTGACTCCCTGACTTCTGGTTCTGCTGCACCGTCCAGTAAAAAGTAAGTTATTCTTTCTTTTCTGTGGGTAATTTGGGTGTTTTCAGATGCTGGGACAAAGGGAAAAACAAGGAAGAGAAGGGAACCTTCAGACTGTTTTCAATTGAAGGCGCGGGTTGAGAAAGCCCGCCGGCTAAGGGAGGCCTAAGTCGGCCGCCCCCATCTGTGAAGGACTTGGGGTGGGCTCCTGGGGTCCCCCCCCCGGGATCGCATGGAGCATCCCAAGAGCGTGTGGGGTGCGGGTGGGTCCGAGGCTCTAAGTGTGACTGGGCATGTGAGCACATGGGTGTGTAAGGTCCCCAGATTTTATCAGATTCTCAAAAGCCAAGGACCACTGCCCCAGGATACACAGACGGACTGAGCTGTGCATGTTTGTTGAGAGGATTATTGAATAAGGAGGACCAAAGAGGCACAACTTACTCTTTCTTCATGCTTTCTCCCTCCTGACCTCTAAGGAGAGCAATGAGATAGTGAGATAAAAATGGGTCAAGGGGATAATCTTCTGATAATCTTCCTCAACTCTGGGGCACAAATCCCCAAGGAAGATGGATACCTGGGGATAAATAGGTCTCCAAAGGGGCAAGTGTGTAGAAGCCTGGAGTCTTCTGAGGACAAGCAGGGTGGGATGGGCTAGGATGAAGCCATGAACACCTTTCTCGTCCTCTCCTCTCTGTTTCTGTTGGTGCCCGATGACTCCTGCTGGGATTTCTCCTCCTTGCTGCCCACATCTCAACAGTATTGAAACGTAAGAGTCTTTTTTTTTTTTTTAAGTGGACGAACTGGGGCTTGAACCCAGACCTCGTGCATCCTAAGCACATGCTCTACCACCGAGCTGCACCTTCCCCCTTTAAATATAAACATTGCTCCTCTCTCTTGTTCCCTTTCTCATCTCTGCTAAGGAGTTCTTTCCTAGCCACAGCTCATCTCTCAAAGAATCTTTAAAATAAAAAAAGAGAGAGACTGGAAAAAATAGGTATGTTAGTTTCCCTTTCAAAAAGGGTGGGGTGTCTTCTGGGAGCCACCCCCCTCCTCAAATCAGGGATGCGGGCAGCATTATGATGACAGCAGCGCTGACAATCAGAAAAACTCATTTTCGTGTTTCCTGGGCGCCAGGCACGAGAAGCACCTTTAACGTGCTATGTTACGTGTTCCCTCAGCCTCTTCCCAGCGCAGGCACTGTTTGTCTGAAGTATGTAAGATGCCTACGACGTGGTGGCACCAAATACAGGGAAAAGCAGTGGAGGCTGCCTTCGCAGCCTGAGCCGTTTGATTTCCCCTCTGCCCCACACAGCGGGGCCCTCAGTGGTCTCCGCCTGCGCACCGCTGCCCAGACCCACCTGGGCGCTGCCCTCACTGGCTCCCGATCTTCCCGCCTTTTGATCTTGTGATTTTCTTTTTCCCTCCTGTGGTCTCGTCTCTCATGGCCCCTTGGACCCAACACTCTGGACTTTGTCTGCACCCCTGAACCTGGTCTTGCCTCTCGGACCGCACTTCCCTTTGGATGGATGACACCAGAGATCCTAGGTAAGTATCTCGGTCCGTGCATACCCTGGAATTCTGGCGGGAAGCTGGTTTGGCAAGAACATTCTCTTAAGACTCAGTATGGGCCAGGACCGTGCGGGGCGGTGGAAACCCAAAGAAGAACTGACGTGCTTGCTGCCTCTACATAGACTCACAGGCTGGCGTGGAGACAGACAGCTAGCTCTGATGCAGTGTGAATCAGCGTCCTGGGGGGGGCAGTGAGAACAGGTGAGACGGAGCCTGGGGTGAGCCGTTCAGCCTGTTGGTCTGAGGGCGTTTACCATGCTGCCTTGACGATTCAGTCTGTCCGTTGTCTCCTAGGTTTGCTGAGCCTCCAGGTGCTGAATGGTAAGCAGTGACTATGCCCTTTGGCCCCACCATTTGCCTTTGCTCCTGTGCACAAAGATGTACCGTTACTAGCTTTCCTTTTTTTCATGCTGGAGGAGCCTCTAGATATCATCAGACCTTACACTCTTTATCGTCATCAGCTTACCACCATATATGTCTAACTTTTCCTCCATTCATCCAGCAACAAATACTAATTAATATCAGCTACTCTGTGCTAAGTCCTGTGCTAGTTGTTGGAGATACAGCAGGGAACAGAACAGACAGAAATCTGAGTTCAGGTAGAACTCATGATAAGAGAAAGAAAACAAATAGATTTTTTAAAAGTAGATTAAAGTTCTGTTGGGAGCTAAGTCCTGTGAAGATCGCAGAGTAAAGGCGGGGAGAACGCAGCATGGGAGTGGTGATCAGGGAATGCAACACCTGAGCAGAGACGTGAAGGAAGTGAGGGAGGCAACCCTGTGTACATCTGGGCGAAGGGTGTTCCAGGCAGAGGGAACAGCATGGGCAAAGGCCACGAGGCAAAGCAGTGCCTGGGATCAAGGGTCCGCAAGGCGGTCAGCTGCATCCTCTTCCCTCCGTATCTGAGGCACCTAGAGCGCAATTTATTGTGTGGGCTCCACCCACGTCAGCAGGTGCTGATTTCTTGTCTTCCTTTCTCTCCTCCTCCTCCCACCTTTCCCTCCCTCCCTCCCCTCCCCCTTTCCTTCTCCCTCGTCCGTCCCCCCCTCCCTCCTTCTTTCTCCTTCTCCTCCTCTTCATTTTTAGAAGAAACAAATGGCTGTAAGGAAGAAGGTGAGCGCACGGAACTGTCCTTTCCCATCGAGAGGACAGTGAGTTTCTTCAGTCTGGGTTACGACAAAGCCTTAAGAAGAGAAGACTTCAGGTGACCAAGGCCAGGGATTCGGTGCCTGAGCGGGGTCTTTCTGAAGGCAGCCAGTGCTTTCAGACCACCCTGCCCGCTTTGTAGTGCTCACGGGGACCAAGGAGACCCAACATCCCGAGGTGTGAGTGGGGAACCTTTGTGCTCTTCCCAGTTGCTTCTGTTGACTGCTGAAGTCAAGACATATTCCTAAAGGTGAAGAGGCACATTGAAATTTATATATAAGTTTTAAATCTGTTTTCACACGGCAGCGTAGTTTTCACGTAGGTAAAATGAAAATTGACAGAATTAAAATAAGAAATAGGTGAATCCATGACCACGGTGGGGGACTGTAACACCTCTCTCAATAAATGATAGAACAGGTAGGTGAAATTTAGTAAGAATATAGATGGAAGCAACTAACAAACATGACTTAAGGGATGCGTATGGAACTCTGCACCCAGCATTGACAGAAGACGCAGTCTTTTCAAGTGAATGGGTTTTTTTTTCTTACCAGATTTGGCAACATGTTGATTCACAAAGAAAGACTCAGTTTCAGGTGGGAGTCACTTAGAGCATGCTCTCTGAGAACAAGGGAATTAGGCTATAAATCAACAATAAAAGAAAACCCAAACTTATAAATTAATAGATATACTTATAAATAGTGCATGGGACAAAGAAGAAAAAAACAATTAGAATTTTGAATTAATTACTAGTAAGGATATCAGTATCTAAACTTGGAGGATACAGTCAAAATTTTGCTTAGAGGGAAATCTATCATCGAAAATGTACGTATTAAAAAGAAGGAAGGGAGGTAGAAAGGCAGAAAACCAGTGATTTCAGTACCTGTCGGAAGACTTTTGAAAAAGAAGAACAAATTGAACCCAAGTAGAAAGAAAGACGTGTTAAAAAGCCAAAGGAAAAAAAAATTAATAAAAATCAACATCTCTAACAGATGGTTATTCTGAAAAGACTAATAAAAGTATAGCCCATAGCATTACTGGTGGTAAAAATAACAAGGGAGGAATGAATTACCAACATCAGAAGTGAAGAAGGGAGCATCCACACAGATCCTACAGATGCTGGAAGAATGACAGGTGATAGTTTGAAAATCCTTATGCCAATAGAATGGAAAGTTTAGATTAAATGGACAGAACCTGGGAAAACAAAAACTACCAAGGGTGAGACAAAAGGTAGCAGAGTATCTGAATAGTCCTCTGTTAAAGGAACTTAATCTGCAATTAAATAACATTTCTGCACACACCTCCCCAGGTCAGATGCCTTTGATAGTGAATTTCTCCAAACATTTAAGGAGGAAATACACTGATCTTACAGAAAATCTTCCATAAAACTAAAAACAGTCACTTTCCAGCTCATTTTGAGGTCAGAATAACCTTGACAAAAGATCCGATGGATAGAACAGAGAAAGGAGAATTTCAGGTTAATCTTTCCCACAAACGTAAATGCAAAATCCAAGGCTAAATACTGTGTTGTGGGTGTGGAGTTCAGAGGGAGATCCATGAGGGACAGAGACGTGGGGAGGCAGGAGTCGGGACAGGGAAGGGCAGACCTTCACGCCAGTCACGTCCACTTGGTTGTCCCCAGTGAAGCTTTCCCCAGCTACCACCACCCCCAAGAAGCCGCCGAAGAAAAAAACCAGATGGAGTGGGTTGCGATGCGCCTACATGATGATCACTTTCTTGTTCGTGTCCTACAATAAAGGAGACTGGGTAGGAGGGGCCAGGACCCGGGGGTGGGAGGGGAGGGGAAGGGAGCACGGAGGAAGGGTTGGAGGAGCCTGGTACCTGATGGGAGGAGGGAGAGAGGGAGGGAGCATAGAGGGAAGGATGGAGGAGCTGGGTATCTCAGACCCAGGCCGGGTGTTCAGTGAAGGTGGGGAGGATCAGGGGACCTGGAGACAGTTACGAGGAGATGTGCTAATAGATTTGGTGTGAGGGATGGGGAAAGCGGAGGGGCCAAGGAGATGAGCCCCAGGCATGGGCTTAGGCCCTTAGTTAAATGAGTGGTTCTCAAACGGGGTGACGTTGGCACCCAGGGGACACTCAGCAGTGGCCATCACAGCTGGGGGAGGGGGTGCCAGTGGCACTTGGTGAGTAGAGGCCAGGGGTGCTGTTCCGCAGCCTGTATGGCACAGGATGCCCCCAGGTCAAAATGTCAGCGGGGATGGAGGTGAGAAACCCCAGGCTGGAGGATGGTGTCTCTTGCAGGGATGGAGGGAACTGGCTGGAAGATGAGGCAGAACGTGGGAGCAGAGGGGGGGAGGCTGAATAGATCAACAGTGTCACCACCTGCGGAAGGAGGAGAGAGAGGTGGGCAGGAACGAAGGACAGGAGGAGTGGGGAGAAAGGGAGGGAAGTCAGGTGACTTGCCTCACCTTACCGTTTCTTGCTGTTTTCTGTTCACTCCTTCTCCAACCTCCCAAGTGTTACTGCCATTACTGTAACCCAGAGCTGGACAACAGGTACGTTCCTGCAGGGAGAGTTTCCGTCCACTGCTGGGGTGGGAGGGCTGGGTCCCAGCTGCTTAGTGTTGGAGCAGAGAGCCCCAGGTGGGGGACCTGCGATCGTAGAATCACAGAATTGTATGACAAGTCCCAGGCACATCAGCCTAAGCTCAAGGCACCACTCACACATGACCGGGATGTGGAGAGCTGGAGGGATCCGTTTATGAGTTCCCTCAGTAAAGTTTCTGTGGGATTTTTTCATTTTAAAAATTTGGGGAGAAGTGACTAGGTATTTATTTATTAAATAGATAAATACTTATTTATTTTTACTGGAGGTACTGAGGATTGAACCCAGGACCTTGGGCATGCTAAGCATGCACTCTGCCTCTGAGCTCTATCCTCCCCCACCCTTATGTGGGATTTTTAAAATTTGTGGCTGAATGCACATAAGATAAAATTTACCATTAGTGACATTTAGTAGTACATTTACAATGTGGGGCAACCCTCACTATTATCTGGCTCCAGAAAATTTTTATCATCCCCAAAGAAAGCTCTTTACCCTACAGCAGTGTCTCATCCAAGCCCTTAGCAACCACTAGTCAACTCTCTCTCTCTGTCTCAGGGTTTACCTATTCTGGACATTTCATAGAAATGGAATCACGTACTATGGGGTCCTTTGTGTCTGGCTTCATTCACTTAGTATAATGTTTTCAAAGTCCATCCAGGTAGTTGCATGTATCAGTACTTCATTCTTTTTTATTGGATGAATAGTATTCCTTCACATGGATATGCCACATTTTGTTTATCCATTCTTCAGCTGAAGAACATTTGAGTTGTTTCCATTGTGTGTGTGTGTGTGTGTGTAGGGGCGGTAATTAGGTTTATTTATTTATTTATTTAAGAGGAGGTACTGGGGATTGAACCCAGGATCTCATGCATACCCGGCACATGCTTTACCACTTGAGCTACGCCCTCCCTCCTGTTGTTTCCGTCTTGTGACTGATGCTGCTTGACCACCTGTGTTTGAACACCAGTTTCCAATTCTTTTGGGTACATACTTAGTAGAATTGCTGGCTCCTCTGATAAGTCTGTGTTTCACCTACTGAGGGACTCACACAATGCATTTTTATTGAGCAACTGCTCTGTGATGGATCCTGGGTTTGTTAAAATGGTTAAATGGTGAATTTTACGTCATGTGAATTTTACCTCAATTTTTAAAAAAACTATAATAAGGGGCAGAGGCTGGAGTCACTCTCAAGCTGTAGTTTTCGGACCTGTGCACTAAACCGTGAGCCCGTCTGGGAGCAAGAAGATTGATCTATCCCAGAGCAAGCCTCGTACATTCACTCCCGGCACCACCCTGCAGGATCGCAGTGTGCCAGGCTGGGAGTGCAGAGGGGCTGCAGCTGGGGAGGGCCCTGTGCTCTTGGAGCAAGCCCTCTAGTGGGAGGGCGGGGGTACACTAGCAACCACGTGAGTTCCCTAGAAGGTGCTGTGACAGAAAGCAATGGCAGGGGGCGACTTTGTTCCACTGGGCGTTTAGAAGAATCCCTCTCTGAAGAGGAGCTGTTTGTGCTGATGATGGGGAGAGTAGAGAAGTATGTCCCAGGTGGTCAATCAGCCTGGCGGGTGGAGGCACAGGGTGAGTGGAGCCCAGTGAGCGAGGAGAGTGGTCCAGGACGAAAACTGATGCACAAACACATTTCCCTCTTCTTTCTTCCCTTCCTTAGGAATGATCCCTGCTGTGCTTTCTAGCAGCCCTGCTCCATCTCAGCGCAGCCTCCCCAAGTCCTCCCTGTCCCGGGGAGTCAGGCTTCCCTCCCGAGAGGTCTTTCTGTCCCCTGGACTAAAGGTTTGGGGGTTGATGCGTTGGGTCCTTTGAGGAAAGAGTACCTGTCTTCCCAGAGGCTGTCACTGAGGGCTGTAAGAAGATGGGCCGGAGAGGAGCTGCATGAGCCTCTGCAGGGGATTCCCCCTCACCCCCTCCTGTGCCCTTTTCAGCCCTTCCCTGCTGTTTCTGTAATAAAATGTACACCTGCTGAAATGGCTGAATGCCCGGTTCTTCCATTGAGGCTTAACACAGACTTAGCACGAGGGGTGGCAGAGGGTCCGAGAATCCTATCTGTCACTTAATTCTGGCAGCAACTCAATAAGGAGAGAGGTTCTATTATGCTGCCTGCTTTATAGGTGAAAAAACTGCAGCTCAGGCAGATGGATAACCGATCCAAGGTCACACAAGTGACAGAGCTGAGATTGGACCCATTTCAGAGTCTCTACTTTTTTGCATAAAGATCTAGGGCTTCCCACTGAGGAAATAAGGGACAGTATGAGAGGGCTCTCTTTTCCCCACACCCTCTCCAGCATTGTTTGTGGATTTTTTGGTGATGGCCATTCTGATCTGTGTGAGGT